AACATGTCTACAGCAGTTCTCAAAGTTCCTTTCGTGCACTGTGGTTTCAGCCTCATGGTAACCCTGAGAGGAGCTGTCATTAGCCCTTTTTACAGATGAGGAAACTGAGAGGAAGCAGCATCTGTCATTCGTGGAGCACTCCCTCCGGCCAGGTACTCTGCTAGGCCTATTCAAGCATCATCTCTTTGATTCCTTGGAGCAATTGAGTGAGGGCTATGCTATTAGTTTCTGCATGTCACAGATGAGGAAACAGAGGCCGGGAGAGGTTAAATCAGGAGTAGTGTCAGGACTTGACCCATATCTTAAGAAAGGTCCTTGGCTGGGCGTGGTGGCTCATGCCTGTAATCTGAGCACTTTGGAGGCCAAGGCGGGCGGATCACCTGAGGTCAGGAGTTCAAGAACAGGCTGACCAACACGGTGAAACCCTGTCTTAAAAAAAAAAAAATAGAAAAGTTCTTATCCCTGTGGACACCGGGTGGCAGTTTGGGCCTTCCTCCCTTTCCCACAGCCATCTCCAAAGCCTGGGGCTTTGTGTAAGGTGAAGGGGACCTGGATGAGCAACATCCAGACCCTTGGTGTCCTTATCTTGAGTCAATGGGAGAAGCAGGCCCACTTGCTCCTGGTGGATTAGTGCAGTCTGGTTTCTTTCGGGCCTTAGGCTCACAAAATGTCCTGGCTTCTCTTGGGGCTCAGTTCCAGGTTCTGGGGCTGTTCTGGCTGGTGGAGACTGGCCTCAGCTGGCTGCCCCTGGAGCTGGGCAGGTTCTGAAGGAGGCTGATTTCCTTTCCTTCTGGGTGTTTGACAAACTAGCAAGCACTACTTTTCCAGATGGTCCCAGCAATCTTCCCCCATTCCGTTTTCTCTCCCCAAACCTGCTCTATGTGCAGAAGCACAGACAGGAGGGTCTAGAAATAGCTCTGTTCAAAGGTCTGTTGGCCCGGTTCTCTCCCACCTCCTCCTAGAACTGCTGCCAGAGGAGAGCCTCAGGAACACACACCTCAGCCCCCACGCTGCCTTACTTTGGTGTTTGCCTTTTTGAATTAATCCCTGGCAGCCTGTTAGCCCTCCAAGAAAAGAGAGAATGAAGGCAAAGGTGGGCTCTGAGACCAGGGAGTGGCTGAAGTAGGGCCCCCATGCCTTTGTCTTTAGGTCACTTGATTGCTTCACTGACTCACTGCTGTCATCTATGAATTGCTCACAATCTGACATTGACCTGGCAGTCAAAAGAAGCAGTAGGTCTAAGCAGTAAGTCCACAGGCCTCTTTGATCTCAGTTCTGATCCTCTTCCCACCTCCTGAGGCCCCATCCCCAATTCTGTAGCAAAGGCCTCCCTGGCTCCACATCAGTCCCGGTAATCAAATGCCCCTTCCCACGCCTTCCCTATATTTGGCTCAGATGATGAGAAAGGAAGCTAGTCATTTTGACAAGGTTCATTGGTCCCATGGGGCTATGGGATTGGGGTGGGCTCACCCTGTCCTTGGGGCCTAGGCCCTTTTGGCACAAGCATGTAAAATATCCAGATGCTCAGGACACTCCATCTTGTTCCTCCCTGAGGGGCAGAACCAGACACTGACCTTCAGGGAGGCAGTGCAGTTTCTGGGAGCATCTGGTGTTGGTGGTGATATCGGGGAGACAGAGCCAGGGAGAATGGATGCAGGGAGAGAGAGGCGGTACTGTTATAAGTCCTGCCAGATCGGATGGTATCTGCTCTCGCCCTTCATGCATCCACATGCTGCCCCTATGGGGAGAGAGCTCCTTGCATTTCTCAGCGGTCAGTTCCACGTCTTCAGTGGTGGAGCTCTAGAAGGTGAGCAGTAAGGGTGCTGGGCTCAGCCTGAGTGTGTGGACTCTGGAGCAGGTGTGGGAGGAGGACGGTCCCGCTCCAGGCTCTGGTGGGGTGGTTCATGTGGGATGCATTCCGAACCACTGCAGATAGGAGATGCAGGGGAGACGCTGGGGAAGAACTTCCAGCAGGGCAGAGAGTCCATCACCCCAAGAAGAGTTTGTGAAAGCAAGGGAAGGGAAGTTACAGCTCTCCCTCCACCTGCACGGGGGAGGCAGGACCGAGTGACCTGGTGACAAAAGGCTGGTTCTCTCCCTGGTTCTCTCCCTCCCCTCCTGCCCTCCCGGGAGCCTCCCTCGAGGTGACTCAGTGCCTGCTTGTTGAGTTGGACTGAGGCCTCGGCCCTGACATCGTCCACAGTAACAGCAAGTGATAGCGCTTTCATGTTGGATTCTTAGGGAAGGAATCTTCCAAACCCATTCTGGAGGTGAGGAAATGAAGGCCCTAACAAGGTAAAGGATGTAACATGCTTGAGGGCAGGTGGCAAGAGGAAGGTAGAGCCTTGAGGTTCTTTCCATGAGGGTCCACCAACCCCAAAGTCCTGACCACTCTGTCTGCACGCCCACCCCTCAGGCCTCACCTCCCAGAGTGAGCTCCTGCCCTCCCCACAGTCTCAGTCTGAGTCTTTCCCAGTGGACAGACCCACGTGCTGTAGCCCAGAGAGGTCTGCCAAGCTGAGAAATGCCAGGGGCTGGCGGATGAGGACATGGGCAAGGAACCGGCTGCTGGGCTCTTCCCTGGCCACTCACATGTTAGTAAAGCGCCTCGTTCCCTACCATCATCTTCTTTCTCCCAGCTCTGCTTTATTTTTCTTCATAGCATTTATATCAGCAATCTAGATTGCTGATATAAATCTATACATTTATAATATAGACCTATATTAATCAGCACCTATTTGGTTAGTGTCTGTTTTCCCCAATACACTGTCATCTCTGTAGAGCAGGGACTTTGGTTTATGGCTATACACCCAATGGCTCTAAATATTTATATGAACAATGAATGCCTGCTAGGCCTGCCACCTGCTAGTTATGTGACTCTGGGCAAGTTACCCATCTCTCTCTTTATTTTTGAGAAAGTGTCTTGGTCTGTTGCCTGGGCTGGGGTGCAGTGGCATGATCTCAGCTCACTACAACCTCCGTCTCCCGGGTTCAAGTGATTCTCCTGCCTCAGCCTCCCGAGTAGCTGGGATTACAGGTGCGCACAACCATGCCCAACTATTTTTTGTATTTTTAGTAGAGATGGGGTTTCACCATGTTGGCCGGGCTGGTCTTGAACTCCTGACCTCAGGTGATCTGCTCACCTCGGCCTCCCAAAGTGCTGGGATTACAGGTGTGAGCCACCTCACCCGGCCTCACTCACCTCTTAACATTTCTCAAGCCCTTGCCGTGTGTTGGACATTATTTATTCTATGAGCTTTATATGTATTAGTTTATTTAAGCCCCGCACAAACCTATGAGGTAGTTACTATGATCATCCTCCATCATTGGCAGATGAGTGAAAGAGCAGAGGCGGTCTGCTTAAGGGAGGCGGCTGGCAGCAGAGCTGGGATATCACAGGTGCTTGACCTAGAGCTGAATTAGTTGCTGGTCCACTCTGGCCCCTGCTTCTGCTGCGTGACCGTCTCTTGTTCTCTGCCTCCTGCTCCCCATATTTCCTGGCCTATAAAACAGGGCTAATCACAGCTTCTCCTTCCCTTCCCTCCTCCATTGCTCACTCCTCTCCCCAACAGGGAGGGGAGTCCTCCCAACATTCCTTGCTCCCAACACTCCAAGCATCCTCTCCTTGCTCCCGCTCCAAGCAAGCTCCAGGCAAGGCTTGGTGCTGGGGGCCGAGGGCCAGGTCGAGGTATCCCTGTCGCTCTGGCTGCCTGCAAGGGCAGGAAGCCTTCTTAGTTGGCCTGGGAATCAATCTCCTTCCGCTTTTCCCTCTCACACTCTTCTAGGTTTTAGGTTCTCTTCCGATGAAATGGGGAGGAGTTTCTCAGGCTTCGGTGCGAGGGAGAGAATAGACAAGTGATGTGAAAGGGTATCCATTTCTGGCAATATGGTGGTCTGTGCCCACTCCAGCTAAAAACAACGTAAAATCCTGCGTAGACTTAAATCTTTTCAAAGCATGGAAGAGCCCACAAGGCAGTAAGAAATGAGTAGGTAAAAATCTAAGTAAAAGCAGATTCTGTACTGGGGCCCTTGGTGCCCTGAGGTCATTGGCCAAGCCAAGCCAAGCCTGAGCTTTGACTTTGATGGTTTGGGGAGCGAGGAAGAGAGAAGCGGAAGCCCAGGGCTCACCCCAGGAGGGGACACAAATGGGTGACCCTCCCATGATGCTGAGATCCGAAAAGGCTACACACTCAAGCTAAAAGCCAGAGGGAATCCCATCCTGCCACCCACAAGACTTCATGGAAATTTGTTTTGGTGCTGAGCAAGCAGGGGAAGAAGGAAAACAGCCCTTAAGGAGCTCCAGCCACGGGCAGCCTTCATGTGGCTCTGTAGCCCAAATTCATTCCCATCACCTGGGGTGGAAGGGCTAGAAAACTCAAGCTTAGACAGCTGGAAGTGCCCCTGGAAGGAACACACTTCTCCCTATGCCTCAAAGACATCCCACTGGCGATTTCTCCCAGGGAGGCAAGCAGTTCACAGCCAAAAGCTGTGATGTGGTTAGGCAAGATCAGTCTTCTCACCTGTAAAGGGGAGGCTTAGCCACGTGCTCTCCAAGATCCCCCGTGAATGGAGATTTGTAGGGGTGCAGCCTCAGTGAGGCGGAAGTGTGTCCCCACTTGGTATTCTGGGGGCCTCTGCAGAATGAAGAGGTGGGGCTGTGATGTGATGTGATGTGATGGATAAGCCAGCCAGTATCCTCCAACAGAGCTGAAGGTACTCGGCAGGAGGCTGTCCTCAGCTCCCGACTCTGGGGGAGGGCAGGGGAGAATGAATGGGGAGTGGTGTCTGAGCCCAGACTGGCCTTTGATGTGCGCGTGGATGGGTGGGCAGGTGGCGTCTGTAATGGGGTTGCTGAGAGCTCCCCGAGGGCATCCTCAGTGTTGACCTACTTGAGTCCCCCATAATTGCTTCCTTCCTTTCTTGGGAGGCTACAAATACGGATGCCCTATCTCTAAGCTCCTACGGCTGAAACGCCAGTGCCAGTGGTGAGTGCCAGCTGCTTGGGTCCTGCCCTGGGTTGAGTGTCAGGACAGCTCGGGGACCCCCAATAGCCAGCCTGACTCCTGCCCCAGGGTCTGGCATTGGGAGCAGAGAGATGGCCATAGCAGGACAGTCAGGGGGAGGGAAGTCAGACACGGTGGACGCAGAGGTTTCCTTGCACAGTGAAGGGCTGTCGGGGAAGTTTGGGCTCGGGGGTGTGCAGAGCTGAGGTCTGCCTTGGGGCGGGAGTACTGGGCTGAAGGTTCTGGTGTTCTCCTTAGTCAGCCCCCTCACCTGCTCTTTGCCTCCTTGCTGCATTCCTGGGGACGGGTCAAGACTGGCTAAGGCTGCAGGGGTAGAGAGGATTCCCACACCTCCAGGCACTGTGCTTCTGAAACAGCAGCAGTGGTGGTGCCAGGCAGGCTGGCAGGAGCCCAGAAAGGTGTGCTGAGCCCCTCTGCGGCTCCTCGTTCCTGAGGATCATGGCCCTTTCCTCTGCTGGGAACCTGGACACCTTGCTCCAATCCTGGGCTGTTTACACCAAATTAAACCCTGGCAGTGCTTGGCACCCCCACTCTCCTTCCCCAACTTTCCTGCCAGCCACAACCACGCCAGCCATTTGCTCCCAGCAGCAGGCCCAGCAGTGGGCGAATCTTCAGGGAGAGTCTTGGCCCTGGCCACCCTGTGCTGAGGACTCCCGTCCCGTGGGAGAGCCAGGAGTGAGTCACTGGTCTTGCATGGAAAAAACTCTTGCCTTCCTGGCCGCCTTCGGGTTTTCCCAGGCTGGAGGCATCATCCCAGAAGGGCGGTGGAAGGGGACAGTGGAAGTGGGGGGAGCTGAGCAATTCCAGGAAGGGCTTCCCCTCCAATAGAACAGGGTACCCCTGTACAGATCCTTCCCTCTAGGGGTCAGGGGGGTAACCTCAGGGGAGGCCAGTCTTGGATTGGTAAATACCTGAACCCGTCAACTCTCAAGAGACCATCTGGCTCCGGTTCCTGACTGGGCCTGCGAGGTGGGATGAACCCCACTTCACAGATCAGGCCCCTGAGACCCGGAGAGGCAAATGGCTCACTAGGCCTGCATAGCTGGTGAGAGGCAGAGGGGAGCCCACGAGTTTTTCTTTTGGATGCAGCTTCCCTGAGTTCAGGGCAGGAGGCAGGGTGAGGGGAGTGGTGGGGAGGCCGTGGGGGCTCCTCAGGCCTGCCTCTCCCTCCCTGCTAAGGCCTAGCTTCTCCACGGGCCTGAGGACAGAGAAGCACAGGGCTAGGCTCTCCCTGTGCAAGTTCCCGCAGGGCAGGAGGCTTCTAGGACATCTCAAGGGCTGGGACAGAAGGGGACCAAGCCACCCTGGGTGTTGGGGATAAGCAGAGAACCCGAGAATGCTTAAGGAGCCCCACAGTGGGGTGTGTGGGTGGTGGGGTGAGATGCTGTCTCTTTAAGGAGTTTGCAGTGATGTTGGGGCAATGAGACCTCCACATGGGGAAAACAGCAAAAGGACAGCAGGGAGATAAATTAACAGGGGCTGCTGTGGTCCAGGAGGGCTGCTCAGAGGAGGGGGAGCCATGAGGCCTGAAGCCTGGTGGAGGTTAAGCTGGGTCTGGGAACAGTCTCTGAGAAACATGGAAGGCAGGGGTGAGCAGGGGGCTGGCCTGGAACTCTGCTGTGAGTCACGCCCTTGTTCTGTGACAGGGAGGATGACCAGGCCTCTGGAGCAGGCGGTAGCTGCCATCGTGTGCACCTTCCAGGAATACGCAGGGCGCTGTGGGGACAAACACAAGCTCTGCCAGGCCGAGCTCAAGGAGCTGCTGCAGAAGGAGCTGCCCACCTGGACCCCGGTGAGTAGGCAGAGTGTCCGTCCCCTCCTCACCAGGCGGGGGGCACGGCCTGGACTCTGCAAAGAGAGACCTGGGGACAAGCCTGAGCACAGGTCAGCAAGGGGAGGAGGCTGGACTGTGAGGAGGGAGTGGGAGGAAGAGAACGGACACAGCAGAAGCCTCAGCTTCCTCATCTGTAAAATGGGAGGACAATCATCACACCTGCTGCCTTGCAGGGTTGTGAGAGGACTGAGCGAGAGCACCATGAAGAATGGCTAACGCGTAGTAGGCACTCAGTAGCAGATAGTAGGTGCTCGATTAATAATCTCAGAGGGAGGATTTGGGAGGGGATCGTGATGGGTGCATTATCGGAACAGGTAGGTTGAAGTTGGCCCTCGGAAGGGTGTAGTTTGGGGTGGGGTGGGTCCACTTGGGAGAGGAGGGGGGGAAGTGGCCTGCGAGGCTGTTCCGCCTCCTCATCCTGCTCCCCCACCCTTCCCCACCCCTCCTTTGCACAGACCGAGTTTCGGGAGTGTGACTACAACAAATTCATGAGTGTTCTGGACACCAACAAGGACTGCGAGGTGGACTTTGTGGAGTATGTGCGCTCACTTGCCTGTCTCTGTCTCTACTGCCACGAGTACTTCAAGGACTGCGCCCCAGAGCCCCCGTGCCCCCAGTAGCCTCTGCTCTGGGGGTTGCTCGGGCTGTTGTCTTTCCCATACGCCCTCCTACCCTTTCTCCTGTGCCCCTTTCAATCTGGACTTGCCAAGGTCTTCCGTGATCAGTTCACCCATTTTACCCAGGATGTCAGCGAGTGAGGGGTAGAGCCACTCTGGGCCCCAGCCTGCCCGCCGCACCCCCGCTGCCTCCCTTGTGGCTGGGAGGAGGTGGAATCTTCTCTGAGGCCCCAGTGAGACCTCGATGGGAAAGGGCCTATTTAACTCCTAATAAAAGACTGGCATCAGCTTGGCTTTGTTTGGTTCTTCTCCGGGCACGCGTCTGCTGAGCTCTTTGCTCCTCTCTGGACTTTTCCACTGCAGGAAGGCAGCTGAGGGCAGGCGCAGGAGGCTCCCCCAGGGACGTTTCAGACCCTGCAGAAATGCAGTGGCCTCCAGAGTCCAGCAGGAGGGCGTGGGGCCAACACTGGGACCCCCGTCCTCCCTTCCTCTCTCTTTCTCTGGGGTCTTTGAGAGAGGGCCGCCTGAGTTTCCCCTGGGACTCAGGGCTCTTGATCAGGTGATCTGAGGAGGGAGGGGCTGTGGGTGCAGTGGGGGTGTTTGTTCCCTGCCCGGGCTGTGAGAGCCCAGAGAGCAGCACTAATGGGATTAGGGTGTTTGAGGTTTTACTCCCAGCCAGGGCGGGGTGCCCCTATGGAGGGGGAAGGGGATATCTTGAGGCAGTCCCCATCCCTGAAGCCACAGCCCCCTGAGGGCCTTAACCCCCTACTTCTAACCCTCACTGAGTTTACAGCCCACCCTGAGAGGTTGACCCGAATCCTGACTTCCGTATTTTGTGCCATTTCACCTCTCACTCTCCACCCCAACCTGGATTCTTCATTCCTGACACTCATCCCAACTTTAAATGGCACCCCCGACAACTTCTCTGAGCCTGGGGTCTGTTCATGAGCGCTCACGCCTGATTGCCCCCCATTCCATCACTACCTCACCCAGGACCTTTCCCACCGATGTTTCTGAGGTGGTCCCAGAGCCTCCTTTGGGTATGAACCTCTTCCCCTCCAGAACCCCCAGTAAGGCCCTGGGCCTTACTTGGCATGGCAGATAGTACTGGGCCTGGGGATCCCTTCCCCCATTTTTGTTTTTTAATTTTTATTTATTTATTTTTTTGAGACAGAGTCTCCCTCTGTCACCCAGCCTGGAGTGCAGTGGCATGATCTCGGCTCACTGCAACCTCCATCTCCCGGATTCAAGCAATTCTCCTGCCTCCGCCTCCCGAGTAGCTGGGATTACAGGTGTGTGCCACCACGCCCGACTAATTTTATTGTAATTTTTACTAGAGATGGGATTTCACCATCTTGGCCAGGCTGGTCTTGAACTCCTGACCTGGTGATCCACCCGCCTCGGCCTCCCAAAGTGCTGGGATTACAGGTGTGAGCCGCCGCACCTGGCCTTAATCTTTATTTTTTTAAGAGATAAGATCTCGCTGTGTTGCCCAGGCTGGAGAGCAGTGGCTTGAGCAGTCTCGAATTCCTGGGCTCAAATGATCCTCCTGTTTTAACTTCCTGACTAGCTGGGACTATAGGCTCCAGCCACGCTGTCCAGCTAATTAAAAAAACTTTTTTGGCCGGGTGCGATGGTTCAAGCCTGTAATCCCAGCACTTTGAGAGGCCGAGGTGGGTGGATCACCTGAGGTCGGGAGTTCAAGACCAGCCTGGCCAATATGGTGAAACACGGTCTCTACTAAAAATACAAAATTGGCTGGGCGTGGTGGGACATGTTTGTAATCCCAGCTATCTCGAGAGGCTGAGGCAGGAGAATCACTTGAGCTTGGGAGGCGGAGGTTGCAGTGAGCCGAGATCACCCCATTGTACTCCAGCCTGGGCAACAAGAGTGAAACTCCATCTCAAAAAGAAAGGGGAGACTTCTCTCTCCCTGTCCCCAATGCTCCAGGCACAGGCTACCCCTTCCTCCACCTCTCTAAAACTCAGGCTATGTGCACTGGGTAGTGCCTATTACATCCAGGTCCCTGCTGGTGGTAACCATTGGGGCTTACCCCTTGCCCACGGGGGCCCACCTGGGGACAGGAAGCTTGGTTCCCAGGCTGGGCTGGTGGAGGGTGCTGTGGCACTTACCATGTCAGCCCACAGTAGGAGGGCAGTATCTGCTCTCCCCATCCCCTGCTATGGGCAGGGCCTGGCGGGGGTATAAATAGGTCAGACTGCTGGGCCGTCCCCGTTCTTCCTCTCTCTACAACCCTCTCTCGTCCGCTTCTTCTTTCTTGGCCTGGTGAGTTGTGTTGGCCTGACTGGCATGCAAGGGGTGTCAGAGGCCAGGGCTGGGGCGGCAGAAGGGGAGGTGGGTGGGGGCCAGATGTGCTAAACAGATCCGGATGTGAGATTCTGATGTGGAAGCTCTGGATAGAGTGTGTGTGTGGGTGTGCATGTGTGCGGGTGCGCACGTGCACACACATACACGTGCATGTTGGAGGAAAAAACAAACAGAAAAGCGAGCAAGTGACTGGATTTGAGCTCTCCAGGCGCTTCTGAGATGCGGCTTGCACGTGCTGTTGCTCTAGTGTGTGTTGGTGTGTGTGTGCCCGTGGGTATGTGCACTGGCTCACGTTTGCTGGGTTGCACGCTCGGGTGCAGGAAGCAAAGCAAAGGCAGAAGGTAACCGTGGGCGTTTGTCGGTGGTGTGCCCCAGGAGCCTCTGCCCTGCACCCCGCAGCCCAGGTCGAGAGCATGGCCTCTGCACCTTCTCCAACCCTTGACTCTGCCACCTCACTCTGCCCCTCCCTAGGCTGAGCGCTAAGCGGCTGGTTTTTTCCGCTGCAGGCCCCTGGGCAGACCTCCAGCAGCCGCGCCCAGTGCTGGGAGGGAGAAGAATGGCCAGGGCGGGGCCTTTGTGGCTGAGCTGTGGGAGTGGATCGACTGAGTGAGGGGTGGAAAAAATGCTGTTGTTGAGGAGAGGCCTGGGAGCTTGCTGCCTGAATCTCCAGAGCCTGTACAGTGGGTCCTGCAAACGTTCACTGTTCACCGCCCAGAGCATGCGTTCCCTACACCCTCCCACCAGGTGCTGGGCCCGCTGCTCTGAGCTCCCCCAGGGAGGGAGCAGATTCTCACCAAGTGCTCCCATCAAGGGATGTGAGTGGAGCTGGGCATTCTGAATACATCTCTGGGGGGTGGGGTAAATAAGAGGGTCTCTGTGCCTCCTGCCCCCAGATCCTGACGGCTGTCATGGCGTGCCCCCTGGAGAAGGCCCTGGATGTGATGGTGTCCACCTTCCACAAGTACTCGGGCAAAGAGGGTGACAAGTTCAAACTCAACAAGTCAGAGCTAAAGGAGCTGCTGACCCGGGAGCTGCCCAGCTTCTTGGGGGTGAGTAGGTAGTGCCTGAGTGTGCTCCCACGTGGGCCATTTCCCACAGAGGAGGCAGCAGTCCCTCTATAGAGCATTAGCTACAGAGAGCATCCATCAGTGGGGCGGCTGCCTGGGGTGGAAACACAGTGAATACCACCACTCACGGACTGGCGCCCTGCTGAAAGAGGGCTGAGAATGAACCGGTCAGACACCGCCAGGTGCTTTGCACTGAAGGGAAGACTAAGCTCAGAGTGCTAAGTAACTTCCCAAGGTGGTCGGTGTGCAGAACGGCCATCCGGACCGGGACCGTCTGACTCTTGCCGTCACTCCAACAATGGACACTGAGTTTCTGTTTGGCTTGTAGATGTGAAGGTACAGATGTGGAGATGATCACACGCCCGCAGACTTTCCCCTCAAACAATAACAATGTACATTTGTAGCAAACATGATACAGTTTACGTATTGTTTCATGACTATTATTACCTCATGGGATTATTAGAACAAGCTTGGGTGAAAATGTTGTGGTCCTGTCATTTTTCCATTGCACCAGGTACTCAGACTTCCTCATCCAAGGAGCACCTTCTCCACCCTAGCTTAGCCTTGAGGATGGGAGCTCCAAACTGGACCTCCCAAAGGAGGCTTCCGAGCTCTGGTCTGGAGGTAGAAACTGGGTCTGGTCCTGGCGCCACCCACTGGGCTTCTGTTTTCTATGCGTAGCCTCTTCTCCCTCCAGAAAAGGACAGATGAAGCTGCGTTCCAGAAGCTGATGAGCAACCTGGACAGCAACAGGGACAACGAGGTGGACTTCCAGGAGTACTGTGTCTTCCTGTCCTGCATCGCCATGATGTGTAACGAATTCTTTGAAGGCTTCCCAGATAAGCAGCCCAGGAAGAAATGAAAGCTCCTCCCATGGGGTTGGGGGGGTCTGCCAGCCGGGGCCTTCCCTGTCGGCAGTGGGTACAGGGCCCCTCCCTGGCTTCTTCAGACCCGTGCTTGATGCTGAGCAAATTCAATAAAGATTCTTGGAAGTTTTGAGGCTGATGGCGTGAGAAGCTCTGGGAGCGTGGGTTGGAAACTGAGGGATATGTTGTGGGGAGCAATGGGAGCTGAGCTGAAGTTTTATGGAGAGCAGATCAGGGAAGTAAGGGGAGGGAGGTGGGGTGACTTAAGAGTGTGTGCAGGGCCCGGGCGCGATGGCTCACGCCTGTAATCCTAGCACTTTGGGAGGTTGAGGCAGGCGGATCACCTGAAATCAGAAGTTCGAGACCAGCCTGAACAATATGGTGAAACCCTGTCTTAAAAAAAAAAAAAAAAAGAAAAGAGTGTGTGTGCACAGGCAATAGTGTTGACTCGGTGTGGTCAAAGCCGGGAAGGGGACTCCCCCCACCACCCCAAGGCTTGGAAGGCCCCAGCTGTGGGATCTCAGCCAGCCCGCTCACCCCTCCCGTCTCTCTCCAACCTTGCCTCTGGCAGGATCTTGAACTGATGTTGGAATTAAAGGCCACGTCTGTTCCTGGTTGGGTTTGGAATGGAGTTTGGGTGTCCTGGGAGCAAGCTGGAGGGACAAGAATAGGGTTGAGCTGCAGGGAGGAAGTATTCAGGTGGGAGTGGGATGGGGAGGAGGGCTGGCACTCAGCGCTGACATTCACAGTCCAGGCCATCCTGCCACCCTATTCCAGATCACTGGCTTCAAACCACAGTGATGGATGAAGCCTTTCCCGTCCATGGTAGGATCAGGAGGGAAATATGGAGGGAGACCCCGCTGTTTGCAGCAGCCAGGAATAGGGAAGATCAGCATGATAATGTAAGCCTGATGGAATCCACTGTCTCTGCCGCAAAGGTCCCTGGATGAGATCTGTGATCAGTCAGGAATCGAGCTCCTTCAGAGAAGGACAGGGGACTTCAGAAGAGATGAGTGGGGCTCAGTGGGTGGGGTGGGAGTGAGGCAAATAGTGGGAAGGTGACCATAGTTGTGGAGGCAAAATTCCACATATACGATCTGCTAAATGAAATTGAGATGATTTCCCCCCAGAAAATCTGAGGCATGATATTGCTTCTCTTTAGGTAGGTTCAAGGCCAGAGGCTCTGGGGTGCAGTGGTGGGCTGAGCTTGGATTTCAAGGCCGTGCCTGGGCGACACAGGGATCTTTAAGGAAGAGGTCCCTGGGGGTCAGGTGCCGAGGCTGGAGGGCTTGGTCCCACTGATTTCCCCTCAAGCGTCCTCTTTCCTCTCTCACGTGGGCTTTTCTCTCAGGTTTCAGAGGAGTCGGGCAGGTGACTCAGATGTTCCCTCAGGGTTTGACCACAGAGACTTGGGAGGAATTTCCGCTCAGGAGAAAGTCTGCTGCCTGCCCTGCCCTCTCCATCCGCCCTCCCCGGGAGCACCCTCCCCGGGGCCTCCACCTGCATCACGCTCTCCTTCAGAGACACCTGCTGCGTAGTAACCAGTCCCTGCTGCCTCTCCAGACTTGCCAGCTGGGGGTGGGGTGGAGTGGGGAGCAGTGCGGGGGCCCCCCAGGCTGCAGTGGGACTGCAGCAGTGACAGGCACTACACCCTGAGTCCAGTTCTGTTCTTGTACTTGGACAATGTCTGAGTGTCTCCTGGGATACAGGCGACTCTCCCTGGCCCCTACTCCCTCCTTGACAGTCGCCTGAGCCTGAACTTCCCTCCCCGTTCGACAACCTCCACCCCAGTGCAGGCTTTAGACCTTTGCGGGGCACCTTCCCCATTCCTGATTCTCAGTCCTTCATGCTGAGAGTCTCCGATGAGTCTTTCCCATGAAGATCACTGAGGCTTTGAAGAAATCATTAATTTTTTCTTTTTTGAGACAAAGTTTCCTTCTTGTTGCCCATGCTGGAGTGCAGTGGTGCAATCTCGGCTCACTACAGCCTCCGCCTCCCAGGTTCAAGCGATTCTCCTGCTGCAGCCCCCCAAGTAGCTGGGATTACAGGCATGTGCCACCATGCCAGGCTCATTTTTGTATTTTTAGTAGAGACGGGGTTTCACCATGTTAGTCAGGGTAGTCTCGAACTCCTGACCGCAGGTCATCCATCTACCTCAGGCTCCCAAAGTGCTGGGATTACAGGAGTGAGCCACTGCATCCAGCCAGAATCATTAATTTAAAAGCCCTTTAAAAACCTCTGGGTTCACATTAACTCATGATCTTGACCATATCCTTGGCAGAAAATATCATCTCCCACTGATCCCCATCTTAAGGGGTATCTTCTCTGCTCCTGGAGTGGGTGTCAGGATGGGTGGTAGGGTCCCAATGTGGAGAGCGGCCTAGGACATGGAGAGATGACACCCTGTGTTTGGGCCACACCTCTGAGGTTTTCTTTCCAGGACAGCCTGGTTTCCCCTCTTCGGCCTATTGTTCCACCAGATTTCAGACTGTGAGTTCTGATTTTTGCTCAGAAGAATAAAGTTTCTGGGACTGGAGATGTATGTGCCATGGGAATTCAGTGTGTCCCCAGCTGTGAGATTGACAGAAGGGGTTTCTCCCCAGCCCCATCCCGGGAGGCTCTGCTGTGGGCCTCCTCAAGTCCCCAACCCCTTCCCATTGGCCCTTTCCCTCCCCTGGCTTCCTGCGGACAGAGAGCAGAGGAATAAAGGCAGAAGGCAGTGTGAGGGACGCTGTGTCTGCTGCCTGGATTCTCTGGGCTCACTCCCATGGTGGTAAGTTCTTCCTTCCTATGTCCCTGGGCATCTGCTATCTGGTTGGTCATGCTTGATGGTGAGGCCTGGTGTTACCAGTGGACATGTGCTCAGGGAGGAGAGGGCAGAGCCTTTGGAATTTCTAGAGAAATGGCTCTGGGGTGGAGGTGGGGGTCCGGGCCAGCCAGGATGCCCCTGCAGGTACACAGAGGCCCTCGCCTTCAACTGTGGTCCCAGCTGAGTCTCCTTGAGGTGGGAGAGGCTGAGGTTTTGGGTGGTAGGAGAGGAACGATGGGTCCGGTTCAAGAATGGAGGGGAGGGCTTTGGGCTGGAGGTGAGGACTCTCCGCAGGATTAACCTGCAGCCCTCAAGTTCCGTGGGTGTTGCCTCCTTCCTCCCTAGGGGGAAGTGGTTTTGGAGTCTGAGTCACTTGAGCTCCATCTGTCTCTTCCCTTATTTGGGGGTGACTGTGCCATTGGAATCCAGGCCCTCATTCAAGCGCAGCCTCTGGATCCAGGTTTTGGAATGACCCTGTAGATTTCAGCAGGCCCCCTGCCCTCTCCGCCGACGGACCTGTCTGTGTATGCATTGCTCTCGCCAGAGCCTGGAGACCGGCTGGGCCATCTCAGCCACCTCTCTACCGCTCCTTGTTGAGACCTCATCCCCCGGTTCCAGCCCAGCCCTCTGTCAGCCCTGGACTCGCTCTTTGCTCTGTTCCCCACTTTAATAATGGGACAGTCCTAGATATCAGGAGATTCAGGCACTGGGGCAAAGGCTGGTGACTAAGGTGGGAGCTGCTCCTGGAAAACCTGTTCGAAAACTGCAAGGGGCAGAGAGAAAATCCTGACCCTTGATCTGCTCTGACATCTGCCACCAGGCCTTTTAAGGAGGTCGTCTTGTCATCTTCCTGCCCCAAGCCCCTGTTTCAACAACTCCCAGGCAGGAGAGTCTGCGGTCTCCCTTGGAGCCTGGCTGTTCTCCTCGCACCAGCTGCTCCAGCGTTTGCTGTGGGCCTCACTGTAACCTGGCTGATACAGATAGGTGCTCTTGTTGCTGGATTTCAGTCTCACCCTGGGTTCCAGTCTCTGATTCTTTGAGGGAGAGGCCTTAGAGGTAGGCTAGTGCTGGTAGTGGTCAGAGCAGGTCTGACTCCCTGAGGAATGAGATCTTCCCTTCTCCCTCTGCAGAGCTGCACACCGTGATGGAGACCCCTCTGGAGAAGGCCCTGACCACTATGGTAACCGTATTTCACAAATACTCAGGGAGAGAGGGTAGCAAGCTGACTTTGAGTAGGAAGGAACTCAAGGAGCTGATCAAGCAAGAGCTGTGTCTTGGGGAGGTAGGTGATCATTCCCTTATCCTCCACCCCAAAGTCCAAGTGCTCCCTCTGGGGGACACATACCTGCCTTCAGGTACCCCAGCTTAAGCCAGGGGCAGGGTGGCCAAGGGCTACAGGCAGAGACGAAGACGGAGGGCATTTTGGGCCAGCAAAACTCCAGCCCTCTGTGCAGGAGGATGGGTCAGGGGCTCACTGACAAGGAGGAAGGGCTGAGTCTGGAGCGTTTAGAGGAGATTGAGGAGCCTTCCAGGGTGGGGCCACGTTCTCGCAGCAGTGGCAGTGCCTGGGCTAGGGGCCATGGGCAGTGAAGGGATGCAGGGCGTCCAGGTCCAGCTGTGCACGACTCAAGAGTAGGGGACCCTGCCTGATTCTTCTCTGTGTGCACGGCAGGGCCAGAGCTCTCTGGTGGTGCTGGCACTCACACTGAAAGGTTAATTTGTAAACGTAGGGTGTTGAGGAGACAGAACTGGTTCTCACCAGATGGAGATGGCGGGAAGGAGGTGGCCGACAGAGGGGAAGGCCCATGAGGTGGTTATAATACAATATCCCTGAGGATAAATAGTTTTGAGACAGTCTCACTCTGTCCCCTAGGTTAGAGTGCAGTGGTGTGGTCATGGCTCACTGCAGCTTCGAACTTTCAGGCTCCAGCAATCCTCCCACCTCAGCCTCCTGAGAAGCTGGGACTCCAGGCTAGCGCCACCACACTCAGATAATTTTTAATTTTTTTGTGGAGATGGGGTCTCGCTATGTTAGCCAGGCTGTTCTTGAACTCCTGGCCTCAAATGATCCTATCACCTGGCTTCCCAAAGTGCTGAAATTACAGGCATGAGTCACTGTGCTTAGTCTTATTATTTTTACAGTTAAAAAAATCGGTGCTCAAATATATCAAATAACTTGTCTAACGACACGATGCTGTTGGGAGGCTGAGCCGGTGTTCTGGGCCAGCCCTGTGAACCATTCTCCCTGTTTGCTTTACAGTTTAGCCTGGGGGCCTCTCCATCTAGCACACCTTGAGCCCTGCTAGGCCCTCCCAGAAAGAAAGTTCACAGGGTGCCACATGGGCAGGGGACAGAGGCAGGTGCGGGCGTCTCCAGCCTGATCTCTGGCCTTCCGCCAGGCTCCCTGCATCCTGGAGTTAATGAGGGCAGAGGGAGGGGCCACGGGTCCAGCAGGGGTTAATTACAGGAGGAGAGGCGCCCTGGGGAGGGCCTGGCAACAACTGGAGCCCAGGCTGGGGACTAGGGTCACGTCACATTCAGGCAGGTTCCGCCTCTGTAAGTCCCAACATCCTGTCTCCAGGAAAACCTGTAGCTGACGGCAGTGATGAGGAGACGGCAGGAGCTGCCTATCTGTATTTGCTTCCTGTTCCACCCAAAGGACCCTGACTCCATCATTCTGGTGGAGCCGGGCTGGGAAGTCAGGGGACCAGACAAGAGTGCGCAACCAGGCTCCAGGCTCCAGGCTCCAGGCAGGCCTCTATTATGGCTCTCCTAGCAGGGGAGGGATATAGTGGCTTCACAGCCCCAACGCACTGCTGTCATTGAGAGACACTTTGTCTGGGCTCATTCTCAGCTAGTCCTTAGAGTGGGGAGAGAGTCAGTCAGAGACTTGTATAATGCTCAGTGCCACACAATCAGCAAGCTGGGGTTTTTTTTTTTTTTTGAGATGGAGTTTCGATCTTGTTGTCCAGGATGGAGTGCAATGGCATGATCTCACTCACTGCAATCTCTGCCTCTCAAGTTCAAGTGATTCTCCTGCCTTAGCTTCCCAAGTAGCTGGGATTACAGGCATGTACCACCATGCCTGGCTAATTTTGTATTTTTAGTAGAGACAGGGTTTCACCATATTGATCAGGCTGGTCTCGAACTCCTGATGTCAGGTGATCCACCCGCCTTGGCCTCCCAAAGTGCTGAGATTACAGGCATGAGCCACTGAGCCTGGCCCAGCAAGCTGTTTTTATCAGGTATTGGTATAAAGCCTAGATGATTGTTTCTGTGGCTGGGGGATCGTGTTTCGGAAAAGGCAGGCTAGGCTAGCCTTCCTGCTGTCATTTATTTCCATCCAGGAGTCAGGTCCCTCACCTCCTACCTGGTGCCAGGCCCTTCCCTAGGTGTGGGCAGCGGGCAGACTTTGGGGGTCGAGATGCTGACAGTGTCGCTGACTCAGCTGGGGCTCTCCCTGAGGCTTTGAGGGGGGTGACACCATGCAGTGGTGGGAGGGCAGGGTGGGGAGCGGGGTCTGAGCTGTCCCTCCACCTGGTCTGTGAAGAAGATGAAGGAGAGCAGCATCGATGACTTGATGAAGAGCCTGGACAAGAACAGTGACCAGGAGATCGACTTCAAGGAGTACTCGGTGTTCCTGACCACGCTGTGCATGGCCTACAACGACTTCTTCCTGGAGGACAACAAGTGACTCGGATGCCCTACACCCTCACCCTGTGCCCCTTGCCGCTGACCTTGGCTGCCCCTGTCACAGCCCCTCTTTGGTCCCCTGCCCTTCTCTTCCTCCCAGATGGACCCTTCCACAGGAGGAAATAAAGTTTCCATCACAGGTGCTGGGAGTTGGGTTTTGAAGAGGTCTTGTCTACCTTGGCCTGGGGAGAGGGGAGCACAGGGGGGTCTCTCCTTCAGTGGGTTGAGATAGCCTCTGTCTCTGGGGGTCAGGGTCCTGGGCCCCCACTCCATTCTTTTCCTTCGGTGTGGACGTCATTGGTCTTGTCCTGGTTTAGTTTTGCCCTCCTGGAAAGTGGGGACGTCAGACCAGGCAGGAACTCTGCAAGGACGCAGAGGAAGTTGGTTGGAGAGGAGGACACTGGGAGGGGTTGGGAGTGGCTCCTGAGGACCCTGAGGGGCAGGCAGGCTTGACTTCAGAGCTCAGCGGAGGCCGCCCTGGCAGCACCTGTGGGAAGGGCAAGTCAGCCTCTACTCCAGCCACTCCCTCTCCTCCATTTCCCCTTCAGCAGCTCCCCGCTCATCACCTCTGGGGACCAACACCCTCTCCTCTCCCTGCCTCTCTTACCAAAATCTTTTCTCAGGGGAGGCTCTGAAAAGGCTTTCACTACGAATGGCGCTTACAGGGCTGAGCTGCCGCCTGCACGCATTAACGCAAGGTGCTGTAGTGAATGGAATTTGGGGCAGTGAGGGAAGGCTGGAGGGGTAGGTAGGACTTGTTGCTGGTGGGGGATGGGTGCCGCAGATGTCGTTAGACCGCTGGCTACTCCCCCTCTCTCCTCTGGGGTGACCCTGAGTATCCTCTGCGGGACATCGGCATCCTGTGAGGCGCCCTCCCTGCCCACATGGAGGCTGCGCAGACTCGACGGTCACATTCGCGCTCTGGCAGAGGAAGTGGGGGTGACCGCCGCCGTCCTCCCTCTGCTCTCCTCGCCGGGTCACGTGTCACCAAGAGCAAATTGAGCTGCGCCGCTGAGGGAAACTCCCCGTCACCGGGCGTGCAGTGGGTTCTGTTGGGCTCCCCTATCCCGTCCTAACCCAGAACAGCCCCGGGCAGGAGGCGTGGAAAGTCGAGGGGGGACACCGGGGTGTGCGTTGCGTAAGCCACGGCGCGGGGTGGGGCGCGGGCGGGACTTGCGCGGGTGGGGTGGGCTTGGCCGAGCCGGCCTCCCGGACACAGGCCGCTATAAGGCCGGCGGGATCGCGACGCAGCCCATCCCCTCGACCGCTCCCGTCGCACTTGGCCGCCTCGCTACCGGTGAGTTCTCGCCAGGAGCCCTGGGTGCTTTCCAGGGCCGGCTGCCCTCACGCTGGGGGTCCAGCCACCCCCCGCCCAGCCCGGCCCCTGGATCCAGACTGGGGCCGTCTGTGGCCTCCCCCGCTGGAGGGATAGTCAGGAGCAGCAGTGCTGTGCCAGGCAGGCCCCGGGCTAAGGGATCCCAATGGGGTGTACTCTTTTGGGGTGCGGAAGGGAGTGCCCTGGGTGTGTCACTGCCACCAGGTGTGGCCCTATGAGGCTGTGCTCAAGGCTGCCTGTGCAGCCTCCATCCTCCTCCCCTGCCCAGCCATACTCCATAACTTCTGGATCCCCTAAAGGACAGTTCTCAGCGGTGTCCAAAGCTACTGTTCCTATATGCTTCTTAGAATCCTTAAGCCACCTCTCCGGCCTTGGCCCTAGTCTGCCCTCTCCTTCCCCTTCAAGCCCTGGGCTGTCTCCTCATGCCATTGTGTGTGGTCTGAGACTGAGTGGCCGGGGCTAGTGCCGACAGCGTTATTGGGGTGTGTGGGTGAGAAGTCCTTGCTCCCACGGCACTGACCAGGCCCTCTGCTGCCAGCTCCAAGCCCAGCCCTCAGCCATGGCATGCCCCCTGGATCAGGCCATCGGCCTCCTCGTGGCCATCTTCCACAAGTACTCTGGCAGGGAGGGTGACAAGCACACCCTGAGCAAGAAGGAGCTGAAGGAGCTGATCCAGAAGGAGCTTACCATTGGCTCGGTGAGTGGCCTCCACCCCAGGGCCCCTCTTCCCACCCTTGTTCTTTGGAAGCAGGATTAGGGGAGGGAGAGGTGCCAGGTGCATCTGACTCACATTTACCCACATTCCAAAGCCCTGCTCCATATGTCTTACTGAACTGTCGAACCACTCCCACAGCGGGTAGGGGATGCTCCCAGCCTGATGTCCATCCCTCCAAGTGAGGACCAGCAGCTGAGGAGTAGCTGAGGATACATAATGCCAAAGTGAAACCGGAGGTGGACATAGGTCCTTGGAGATGAGGGAGTGCAGAGCCACTTGTAGAGAGGGTGGCCTGGGAGGGGGAAGGAGAAGAATCCAGGGTTGTCATCACCACTGAGTCTGGATTTCACATTCTATCACATTAGAAGCTGCAGGATGCTGAAATTGCAAGGCTGATGGACGACTTGGACCGGAACAAGGACCAGGAGGTGAACTTCCAGGAGTATGTCACCTTCCTGGGGGCCTTGGCTTTGATCTACAATGAAGCCCTCAAGGGCTGAAAATAAAGTGGGAAGGTGAAGACACCTCTGGGGGTCCTCTCTGAGTCAAATCCAGTGGTGGGTAATTATACAATAAATTTTTTGGGGGTCAAATTTCTCCTTGCGTCCTGGCTTCCCAGTGATTTCTGTTCCTCCTGGGCTTCCTTGGTGTAGCGGGGCACCAGCCATCCGAAGATTTGCTCACAGTCAACCTCTGAAAATGACTCACTGACTTGCCAGGCCAGGGGACCCACCCTGACAATGCCACTGCTAGCACATAAGGTGCCTTTATGTGAATGAGGAGAGATGCCCCTCTTGGTTTGGAGAGGGTCCTGGGATGATGGAAATGGTTCCTGGGCTGGGCTGTGATGGGTCTGGGGGCAGAGATAGTCCCAGAGGCTCCCAGACGTGTTTTGTGCTGGGTGTGGCAAGAGAGGCCCTGGGGTGGGGCAAGTTCCCTTTCTCACCACGGTGCAGTGGGCAGAGAGGACACATCTGAAATGCCTGAGGTTTGCCTCAGGGAGTTTTCCAGACCAGTGAGGATGCTGTGTGACTGAGTCTACTGCGGCTGCCCAGGTCCCAGGTGGAGTTGGGAGGCATGCTCTAGGTGTGTCCCTGCGTTCAGGGATGGGGACTTTTTGTTGGGATGGGGGTCTGAGGAGCTGGCAGCTGCACCAGCACGTGAGCCACGGGCAGCTCAGTAATGGGGTGGGGTGTCCCTGCAGCCTCAAGATAATGACTCACCCGGAGGTTCCACGGGAGCGTTGCCTGGACCTCAGCCCCCATCAGAGAAGATGACTAAATTGAATTATTGTTCATCGTCTGCATTAGTGTTTCAGGCAGGAGGGAAGGGGATAAGGGGGGTAAACTCTGTTTCAGGGTGACGCCACGTCATTCATCCTCTCTAGACCTAGTCTGAGCGGGGGCAAGTTCTCCTCTAGCTCCTGGGGAAGAGATCTTGACTTCAGATGGAGACCACATCCTTCTTTCCCTCTCACCTCCCCGTTTTCCTTGGGGACCCAGCTTTGTGGAATTAAGTTGTCTTCTGTCTCCACTGGGTGGGGATTGGTAAACAACTGGGAGCCGCGCCTTCCCTACTGCCCCCCCTGCCCTGCTGGGAGAAGTCGCGCTGTTGGCTGCGGGAGACGGCGGGCGGAGGGTGGGTCCGAACTCCCCCTCTGCACAGGCGTGCCCAAGCCTTGGCGCTATTCAGCTCCCTCTGGAAAAGTACGCGCTTCCCAACTCCTCCGGCGCCCGCTAGGTCCCCGCCCTGGGCCGCTGTCCTCCCCTTTCCTCCCCGCCCCTCGCCGCCCGCCTTCCAGCCGCGGACAACTTGGGGCTCGGAGCGAGCGCCCTCGTGTGGTGGGCAGAGAGCAGGGCGCCGCGGGGACATTCGGGTTGGTTTTCCCGAGTTTGGCGGCGGGGCTGTGGCCTGGCAGTCAGGGAGTCCACAGGAAGAAGAAGACAGGCTTGGGCGCCCCGGGAATGTCAGGGTAGGGGGTCCTTTGGCTCCCGGCGATCAGCCCCAGAATTAAGCAACTCAGCTTCACAATCGACACACCCACCATGAGCAAGTCAAGGAGGGAAAGGCGGTCCCTTTGCAAAGACAAATGAAATCTGAACTCTGCGCCTCCCCTCCCCTCCCTGCAGGGCTAGAAGACCTCCGCACTCATCAGTCAGCCTGCGGAGAGGGAAGAGGAGTTTCAGGGACAGGAAGCCCGCTGCTGCGGGGAGGCAAGGCCGCCCGCCAGGTGCTCCTGGGGGACACGGGCGGGTGGGCAGGCCGCGGGTGCAGGAGAATCAGCACAGGTGCACGGTCCACCTGCTGAGTAAACAGGCGTGTGCTTTGCGTTTTTGCTTCTCCACAGTGGTGGAGGGGAACGGGAACATGGACTTCAAGAATAAAACAAAAAACAAAATAAACACCAAATCTTTAGGGGGAGATATATATATATATATATAATTTTATTTTATTTTAATTAATTAATTTATTTCTTTGAGACGGAACCTCACTCTGTCGCCCAGGCTGGAGTACAGTGGCGCCAGTCTCAGCTCACTGCAATCTCCGCCTCCCGGGTTCAAGCGATTCTCTTGTCTCAGTCTCAGGAGTAGCTGGGACTGCAGGCGCGCCACCATGACTGGCTAGTTTTTGTATTTTTAGTAGAGACGGGGTTTCACCACATTGGCCAGGATGGTCTCGATCTCTTGACCTCGTGATCCTCCAGCCTCAGCCTCCCAAAGTGCTGGGATTACAGGAGTGAGCCACCGCGCCCGGCCTAGGGGAATAATTTTTAAGGTTTTATTTATTTATTTATTTGGCAGGGGAGGGGAGGGAGGCAGCATTTACAATGGAATACGGCAGGTGCAGCAGTCAAACTGTGGAACTGGGTGTGGAGAGGTGCGGACTGGACATTTTATTGCTCCAACCAATTTGAAGTTGGAATTGAATCCTTTCAGCTCACTGTCGAGTATGGTGTGAGCTTACAGGACAGGGAGAGCTCGGATGTGAGCTGAGGGCTTCACAGAGGACACTTTGCTTCTCTGAAGGTTGAGCAGTGGGAGTGGCTCTCCATCTCCCCACTTCCTTTAGCTGAGGTCCTCCCATTGCTGACATTAATCCTCAATCTTGTCACCTTAACACCTGTGAAGCTGCAACAGCAGCACCACAGACCATCTCTGTGAGTTGGGGCAGGCCCCAGGTAAGGGGGTTAGGACTGAGTCACAGGAAGTGGCTTTCTGTTCTTTGCCAAGCGGATAGGAAATTGTCAAGAATAATGCCACCACCTTTGTACAGCACCACATTTGTATAGCAATTTCGTTTTTGCGAGGCACCTACCGTAGCCATTGTCTCTTGTCGTCTTCAGAAGATTTATGCGTAGTATCGTTTTATTTTATATATTTTTTAGAGACTGTCTTGCTCTGTTGCCCAGGATGGAGTGCAGTGATCCTGTCACAGCTCACTACGGCCTCCAACTCCTGGGCTCAAGTGATCCTCTCACCTCAGCCTCCTGAGTAGTTAGGACTACAGGTGCACACCGACATGCCTGGCTAATCTATTTTTTGTAGAGATGAGGTCTTGCTGTGTTGTTCAAGCTGGGCTTGAATTCCTGACCTCAAATGATCCTCCCTACTGGGCCTCCCAAAGTTCTGGGATTAAGGTGTGAGTCATGTGAGCCACTGTGCTCAGCCTGGGTTGTATATATTCTTAACCACACCAGACAAGTGAGAAGAGTGGGCTGCAGGGAAGCCATCGCCTCTACCCAGGTCAGGCTGTAAGTTAAGAGACAGCTGTGAGCAGAGCTGAGGTCTGCTGATTCCAGGCCAGCTCATTTGTGCCTGTCTCATGACATTCTTTGACCATTTCTTCCTCACCTTTTTCTCTTAAATGATTTAATTAGATATTGGGAATATATAAAACTGTCTACAGACTACGTCTAAAATACAAGAACAATGACACAAAACCCACCCATTTTAACAAGTGAACATTACCGTTACCTTCTAGTTCCCTGGCTTGCCTTCCCCATCCCATTCTTCCCTCTCTGTGGAACTACTATCTGGTAACAGTATTTGTTCATTTCCTTTCTTTCTTTCTTTTTTTTTTTTTTGAGACGAAGTTTCGCTCTTATTACCCAGGCTGGAGTGCAATGGCGCGATCTCGGCTCACCGCAACCTCCACCTCCCGGGTTCAGGCACTTCTCCTGCCTCAACCTCCTGAGTAGCTGGGATTACAGGCACGCGCCACCATGCCCAGCTAATGTTTTGTATTTTTAGTAGAGACGGGGTTTCACCATGTTGACCAGGATGGTCTCGATCTCTTGACTTCGTGATCCACCCGCCTCGGCCTCCCAAAGTGCTGGGATTACAGGCTTGAGCCACCGCGCCCGGCCGTTTTTTCGCTCTCTTTAAGGATTGAAAGTTAAGCAGATATCCAGGTCTGTTGCCCAGGCTGGAGTGCAGTGGTGCAATCTTGGCTCACTGCAACCTCTACCTCCCAGGGTCAAGCAATCCTCCCGCCTCAGCCTCCTGAGTTGCTGGGACTACAAGTGTGTGTCACCATGCCTGCCTAATGTTTTTGATTTTTTTGTAAAGGTGAGGTCTCACTGTGTTTCCCAGGCTGGTCTCAAACTCCTGGGCTCAAGTGATCTTCCCACCTCAACCTCTCAGAGTGTTGGGCTTGCAGCTGCCAGCCACCCTGCCCTACCTGGATTTTTAAAATGTCTTTGAATAACATGTTATCATTTTCACCATATATGTACTTGATTGTACAATTTATTGACCATGTTGCAAATGCCATGTTTTTTCTTATGAAAAAAGCCAACCTCTATCCTCTGTGACACAGATGCATATATTTTTTATATTTTATTTTAGATTATTATGATTTTTAAAAAGATATGAGGTCTCACTATGTTGCCCAGGCTGGTCTTGAACTCCTGGGCTCAAGGCATCCTCCCACCTCAGCCTCCCAATTGCCCGGCTTATAAAATATTTGAAGAGATTTATTCTGAGCCACATGTGAGGACCTTGACCCATGACACAGCCTCAGGAGATCCTGAGACCATGCAACCTAGGTGGTTGGGTTACAGCTTGATTTTACACATTTTAGGGTGATGGAAGTTACAGACAAACATCAACACATTAAGGTATACATTGATTTGATCTGGAAAGACAGGACATCTCAAAGTGAGGACTTACAGGTCATAGGCAAACTCAGAGATTTTCTGATTGGCAATTGACTGAAGGAATTACATTAATATCTGAAGACCTGGAATCAATAGAAAGGAGTGTCTGGGTTAAGATAAAGGATCGTGGAGACCAAGGTTCTTATTCTGTAGATGAAGTCTCATGGCTGGCCACCCTTAGAGGCAATGGATGGTGAAGGTTTCCTATTCAGATGTTTAAAAGGCACTAGACTCTCTGTTAATCTCTTCTATTTTTTTCGTGTGCAACATGATTTTTTATTGACGTGTAATAGCTGTACATATTTATGGTGTACATGTGATATTTTGATATCAGCATACAATATGTAATGATCAAATCAGGGCAGTGGGGTATCCATCGCCTCAAACATTTACCATTTCTTTGTGTCGGGAACATGCCGTATCTTCTTTTCTAGCTGTT